GATTAGTATTTTTTGCCGAAATCCCAAATCCCAAATCCCAAATACTAGTAATTTGGGATTTGGGCAACACGTATATTGTGCGCCTAATTGTATTGTAGTACGTCTAGCTACTAATTATATTGTATCTTGTGCTGTATTATCAAGTAAGTTATGTAATTCGAAATTTTGCTTAATAGTAATATTTTCATCATATCATTCTAACATTGTTCCTCTCATACATCCACGTAATAATCCTTTTGCATGATCCTTTCCAGTTGGAGGACCACCAGCTGCATCTGTAATATTAATTCCTCTTCCTTCTATTTCAGCTCTAAATTGTACAAGAAATTCATGTAAATCTTCTTTACCTAAATATGTAGGTAATGAATTGGTCATGTTTATTTGATTTGGAATATTATTTTGTAGTAATAAAATTTGTCCCTGTAAATTTAAAATTATTTGCTCAACATTTTGAGTTCTATTTTTTCACTTACCCTATTTAAGATCGAGCTGGATATCACATAAATGTAAATCATTTTCCAACGTATCTATTCTGATACGACATTGTTGTAATTCTAAAAAATACTGTTGACATGTATTTCTTTCATTATTATATGCCGTTATCATCATGTTAAGATCATTCAAGACATTATTCAAATCAGTTTGACGTAAATCCCACTCTGCCTCAGCATTGTACCTTACCTATTGCTCATTTATTTGATCAGTTTGGAGATTTGTATATTTACGATGAATTTGCCTTGTAGCTCTTTTTATTTGGTTGACTAAAATCCTTCTGTCTGTTCTAGGATTATCTATATAACCATCTATAATATTTACTAAATCTGGAATTGTTGTCATTTCTTCTAATATAATACTATCCAGAGAATTTGAACTTTCATTTGATAAAATTTGAGATCCTTCACTCGGGCTTCGTGTTATATTTATTGTCATTATTTCCTCATATAAATGGTTTTGTCTTTCATCAAGTTATAATGCTTCTTCAAGATCTTGTTCTATTCTTTAAAAGTATGTATCGTCTACTAATGACCCTAACAAAAACTTATTCCTGCTTTAGGTACTTCAAGCATATTATATAAATTTTGATTTGTCTCATCAGCTGTTTGTAAAGCATGTCGCATATTTTGAAACTCATGCTTATCTCGATAATGTAATAATCTTATAGCGAAATTTGACAATGAAGATTGGTAATACGCCTTTTTTGTCAGGCTATTTGATTATTCCTATCTGTAAGGTATTGTCACAATGTTTGATTTTCATTACGAAGTTGCTCTATTGTATTAGTCATTTCTACTAACTGGTTATAAGTTTGTGAAGAATTTCTTTCTAATATCAATAGCTCTTTTATTCTATGCTTGAGCTTTTTTCTCAGACATCAAATTTACCTAATTGATTTTCTCCAATGGTGAGATTCTTCTCTTTTTGCTTGATTTCTTTTCTAGCTTGATATAATGATTTTTTTAAGTCTGAGATTTCTTTCTGTAATTTTTCTCTCTCTTGACTAGAAAGTGATATAACACTTTCAAGCTCATTTTCCAAAAATTGAATTCTTTTCTCACGTATAACTATCTGTTTTTTGAGATTGTAATTTTTATGCTCATAATCTCAATTTAATTGAACTAAATGTGTTATTTTCTCATGAAGTTTTTAGTTAACTTGATATAATTTCTAAATGGTTTTTTATAGATTATAAATACTTGAAAGGAATGAAACAACCTGTAATTTATATTGACTCACAGAAGGCCCATGATTTAGATAAGGAGATTGCAATATAGAAACTATATTATCGACCTGAAGGCTATTATCGAACTGCTGAAAAATTGAGAGATACATCACATATAGCTGGTTATAATTTTTCGTTAGTAGATATTAAAAACTAATTAAATAAACAGGCTTTATATCAAATTCATAAATCACGTCCACGATTTATTTAGTATGCATCTTTTAATAGTATACAAGTTTTAAATGAAATGCATCAATTTGATCTTACTCCAATGCCTCATGATAAAATTAATAATCGAGTTTTTAAATATTGACTTGTAATAAAAGATGTGACAACTAGATATCGAAAAAGCTGTGCATTAACTAATAAATCAGCTTCTACAGTTGCTAAAGTAATTAAGAAAATTTATGAGAATTCTAGTCATTCACTTTCTTGGCTTAACATTTTTAGAACTGATAAGAGTAGGGAATACTTAGGCGAGTGTAGAGAATTATTACTTAATTATAAAGTAAAACCTCAATATGATGAAACTAAATGAGATATTACTACTGCTGAACAGAATCATCAAGAATTTGAAAAACATACTTTTTTCTGTTAAGATACTGAAGATTTTCATTTGTTTATAACAAAGAGATGTTGATCTTAGGTTAAAGGTCTTCGTATCAATGATGATACATTTAATAATTTTATTATTTCCTTAATAAGTATGTCTCCTAATGAAGCAGTAAAACGTGCATTAAAAGGTAAAAAAATTATTTCAAAACCAGCTGTAAAATATTGAAGACCTATAGGGTATGATGAGTCTCTTATTCCTAATTATACAGAAGTTCGACATCTTTTAAAACTGGAAGAATTAAAAGACTGGAAAAAAAGGATAACTGATTGTAATTGGTCTCCCAAAACTTTTACAATCAATTCTTATTTGATAAAAGAAAATCAACCAGTTCTCTATAAGCTATATAATAGACCTAAACTTTCTTTTGTACTAGAAGAGCTATAAATTGTTCTGCCAGATACAATACTATCACGCCAATATATTCTTAAGCATTAGACTTATCTCCTCTCTCTTCTACTTGATACAATATTTGTTCGAATGCATTAATTAAGTAATCATCTATTTCTGATCGATTATATACTATAATTTGCTTATTTCTAAGCCAATCTGTTCGTGAATTCTTTTTCATATTTTTTTCCTTATTATCGGGTTTGTTATATATAGGAAATTTTGTAAGAAAACATAATGAAAATTTGAATTGTTCGCATTTATCAAACTCTTTTTCAAGCAATTTCTGAAATGGTTTTCTTTAACTCTCCAACATTTTTCTTATATCATTTCCATTATCTGGATGATATCTAGGAACTTTTACATTGTGTACAGCAACTGCTTGCCTTTTTAGTGCTGGGCCTGATTGTTGTTCTTAAAATATTATACTTTTTTCATGATCTCCAGTAATTATATTAAAACATTCAAATTCCTCATTTGTCTAGTCTGTTTTTAAAGGAATTTTTTTAAATTATTCATTTTTTCCCTCCTGATGAGCTTGAATTTTTGGACCTGAACCAACTTTAGGGAATTCTATAACTTACCTTTTAGCAGGCTGTGATACTTGTCTCTCTATTTCAATTTTAGGTTCTCCAAAGAATTCTTGTTCTTCTTTTGTCTGCTTTGTAGGTTCTATATTATTATATGCTTCTTCATCTATTTGTAATAAAGTATCATAAAGAACTTGACAAGCTTTTAAAGTTCGTGGTTGATTATAATCTTCATAACATAGTTTCTTATATCTTTTTCATAATCTTGAGCCCCATTGCTTAACAGTTTCACCCAACTTTCTGTCATTAGCATTTTGTATCGTTTCAGGTATATCTAAAACTTCTGGTTTTCTTGATATAGGCAAAGTACTTTGGTGCTGAGGTAAAAGTACTGGAGAAATAAGGGGTCTGCATGGATTCTGTCTATTAAGATGCTCACGAAGTTTTTGTGGTGTTGCGCATGTATGTTCACAACACTCACAAGTTCTATTTTTCTTGTCTTTTCTAGCCATAGGTAAAATATAATGATTGTAGTATACTAAGTCTAACTTTTGCATTATATTTTACTTATACAAAATCTTTTCTTTAAATAAATAATTCATATCATATATTCAAAAATAATTAGTAAGTATTCGTGCCCATATATTCATAACTCTGGTATTGTTTGCTCTAATCCTTGTATTCGGCCAGAGGGATGTCGGTTTCATTGGAAGGCTAAAAATCATATCCCTTATAGTGAATGTGGTAAGCCAACTGGTTCATCTTCTTGACGTTGCCCTTTATATACTAGAGGGTACTATGTAGCTCAATACTATCAAAGATTATGTGTTAAGGCCTTTGAAAATTCTTAGGACAGTTTTGTTATACTTATTATATATCAGGAACTTAATCTAAAGCACTAAATACCGAGGACAATTTTGATATCAAGAGGTTAGATTTAATTTTGCTATAAAATTCACATATCAGGAATTTGCTCTAAAGCGTTAAATACCCAGAACAATTTTGATATCAAGAGGTTAGACTTAAGATTATATTTTTTAGTAAAATTTTATATATCAGGAACTTAATCTAGAGCACTAAATACCAAGGACAATTTTGATATCAAGTGGTTAGACTTAAAGTTATATTTTTGTATATTAGGAACTTGATCTAGAACGCTAAATACCAAGAACAATTTTGATATCAAGAGGTTAGACTTTAGTTAGATTTAATGAAATGATATACATTTTAGTTTGCTAGAATGTCTGAGAAAGGATCAGGATATTCATTACATTCATATCCTTCACCGCTTCTCATTGTTTTTTAACAGCAAGCGGAGTAGCATAAAATAAATCTAACCAAATTATATTGAAAATGTGGTCTAAAACATAAAATGCATGTCACTCGAGTGTGGTCTAAAACAAAAATCACACGTCATAGTTAGACTTAGCTGGTTAGATTTAGATATGGTTAGAAAATGATAACAGATTTGAGCTTCCAGTAGGGTCAGCATACTATTGTCAATATTGACGGTTTTATCCCAAAACCTCCAAATTTCCAATGTGTGCTTAAAAGAAACTATAAATATCTACCTTATTCCAAGAAAAAGACTAGACAAAAATGACAACCTTTTTACAAGATCTACAACAAAAGTTGACTGAATTATATCGAGATTTTCCTGAAGACATTAATAATATCCAAGTCCAGTTAACATCTACTAATTATGTTATTCAAACTCCAGACCAAACAATTAATGTCTCTACTGAAAGTATTAGACAAACTAATTTTATACCCTATCTCCTCGATCTCTTTAATACTGAATTGGACTTTGACTTTGAGTTATATGTAGAAACTGATCTTAAGAAGTTATTAAAGTACTCAGAAAATGTTAATAACCCAAATGGAAAAAGAATACTTGCATATTCTTTAATCGAAACAC